GGGATACCTTAAAGATAAGGTTTATAGCACAAAACCTGCAACAATCAATGAGATGAAAGCAGCAATTGAAAGAGAATGTGCCAAAATACCAAATGAAATGATTCATGATGTTTGCCATTCCATCTGTCATCGTTATTAGCAGTGCCTGGACCAGAACGGTCATCAGTTCGAACACCTGCAATAACTCAAATTATTCTACACTTGTCTTCATTAACTTGGATTATAAAACTCAGATATATCTTAATGAACATTCTATTTATGATCATTCAAAATGTGTATACATTTTTTTGGGACACATTATATATATATTTACTATTTTTATTATATTGACCTTTCAGCTGTGCCTGGTTAACATTACAGAAGTTACAATGATGTGAAAAAAATAATTTTTTTATGTTCTATATATACATTTTGAAATAACCAAAAATCATAAATTACAATATCAATACCACATAATTCCACTATAATTTATCAAGCTAAGTAACTAAGCTGTATTTGGGTCTAAAAGATATGAAATTTCAAGATCACTTGTGTCTTACCTTACTGCTTGGAATCTAGCATGAAAAGAAAGTTTGCTGAGCAAATAATTCGCAGAGACTGAGAAAAACACTAGGGGGACATTCTCAGCTTTTGATTGGTTATACACACATCATTGGGCAAAGTAGCTGTACCTGAACAAGTATTTTCAAAAATTGAAGAGTTGGGTGGGTCCACCTTGGTTGATTCAACATATATACTAATATCTCAAAAAATAAAAAAAGATAAGATGTTCTTATTTTACATTCTAGCTTGTCAATATTTGATTATCTAATTCGAGAGAAACTATAGATTTTGTATTTTGACATTACAAACATCTAATTTGAACCTAGTGCTGCATTCAACATACTACGCGACACAAAAAATCAATATTTAGGTGTTTTTTTTAACATTTACTTTTAAATTAAGAAATTTACTAATGTATAATACTAAAATTTGATACCAAACTTATTGACATACATTCATAAAATAGTAGTTCAATAAAAATTTTGAATGCAAGTCAACAAACGCGATGACATGACCCTTGACCCATGTCGGTAGGGTTAGTAGGGAATGGCCAAAATTTTCTTATGGCTTTTATGTACATTTTTGCAATAGTGAAAGATGCAAACGCAAATTCAAAAACGTGCCCATAAAAGCTAATTGCATTCTAGCAAAAAAATTTAAAAAGGACATTCATAAATTAAGGGATACCTGTATAAAGTTTATAATAACAAAATTTTTAAAAAGCC